AGTATTCAGATATTCACAAGCATGTAAGAGATTCTATTAATGATTCTGGCAAAAGGTTGTATCAGACTTTTCTGGATTAATTTTACTGCCCAAACCCTCAATTCCATTCATTACAATAATTTTGTGCGATAAACAACAGTTCATGTGCATGTCACACATGCAGTCTGCATTTTTTGCTCTGAAGTGCACATAGGCAAGATTTATTTTCTTCAAAACATCTGATTTCAAGGACAGGATTATGAAGCAATAACACAACAATGAATTCTCAAAAGAAACCTGGAACCCGTGGAGCACTGGCTCATCAAGTTGTGGGACTGGAGGACGTGAGCCCTGTGCTGTACTCAGGGACAATGGGATGTCACAGCCATCCCTGCTGCTGTGCTCTGCTGCTAGGCTCAACGCTCTCCTGAGGCTGTCAGGGAATCAAACACTCCAAACTAGCTGAGGAGCTCCCAAACTAACAAAATTCTCCATGTACAACCAATGCCTGTTGTCAGTCTGACCATAGAGACAAGAGCTTCCATCACCTGAACCAGTGACTCCAAATTCCATGGAAGGGAAGATCTCCAAAGCTGCTATCTTCCTTGGACAACGAGTTTGAATCAAGACAGGAACTGAGCTGCGTGATGTGACTCAATGCTGAGTTCAGCCTATCCAGCCTGTGGCACTCCCCACCAGCTGAGAATCTCTGCTCACAGGGGACATAGCCACCCTGAACCTCAGGGTAATTCAGAGCACCTCTACTCAATGTGTGGCTTGGCATTATTTCAGGTACCAGTTTACTCTAGGAACAGTGGATCATGGAGAACAAGGTCAATCAACATGTAACATATTTAAACAAGCAGCAAACAGCGATGCAACTCTTGGAAAAAACATAAATGTACCATCACACAGAGATTAAAATCATGCATTGTTTTTCGCCTGGAGAGGAGGAAAAGGAAGTAGCCTGCTTCTCTCCCCTCTCCAAAACCCATCATTTAGGGATGCTGCTCGCACAAGGACAAGTGCCTTGTGGCGATGCTTTCAATTCTGCACCTTCTAGGGAAGATAACACACTGTGGAGCTATTTTAAGAACATCTCATTCACAAAGGTCTCCAATTCCGTCTTCAGAGACAGAGAGGATTTTCTTGCTGCTTCAACGTCTTTACTGGCTTGACATTTGCTTCAGAGGGAATTCATTTGCTGTTCCAACATCAGAATGGAGCAAGAGCAGCTGCCAGGAGAGGGATAAAAGGAAACACTGTCGACAAAGAGCAGCAGGGTCATTTCTGGTGCAAAGAAATATAGAACAGAGAGAACCGCAGAACTGACACTTTCTCCAGAAAGCAGCAGGGGATAAAGATGTCCCCTCTGCCTCCTGAAACCGGTGTTTAGAAAGGGACTAAACAATCAGCTTTAACTTTGTAAATGACTGATTATTACAAACCAACTGTAAGCACCTGAGCATTCCCACTTAAAGCCAAGTTCATGCTTAAATGCTGCAGTCAGCAAAGAACTCAGTAAGTCCTTCAGAACTCTCAAAAGAAAACAATTCTGGCTAGAAAGCTCTGCAGAGCACAAGCTCAGTGTTTGGGAGGTGACATTTTTTGGATGATTTCAAGCTGCAGTGCTAATCCTGACCATCATATCTGTATATGGAGCACACTGGACAGATTTGGGGCAGGGCTGTGATCCCACCACAATAAATTGTTCTGCGAGAACAGAGGAGGCTGAGGGTCCAGGGAAGGAACACAGGTACCCGTGGAGTCTGATATCCACCATCAGGGAGAAGCGCAATCTTGGATGACACCATCTGTCCCTCACAGCAGTTGTCCCCCACCCCATCCCAGGCACATCATGCTGCCCTGCTGCAGGAAGCTCCATTCCATCCTTTAATTGCTCTCCAAGGCAGTGCCACATTCCCACAGTGCTGCTCTAAAGAGTCACCCTGCCTGCTACCTGACTGACAGCCTCACAACAGCTCACCTGCTCGGCTGGATTACTCGATTCTTTTCCCTCTATCTTATTAAAACGTTGCCCTGAGCAGGGCAGGGACTTGTCCCTCATTCCACAAGACAAGCAGACCCTGCCCTCCTCCTACATGAAGGAATATTGTCATCCTTTCAAAAGTTAAGACAGAAACCTTTATACACAACCAAAATATTCCTTCCCCTGCTCCTCTCTGAATTTTATTAATGGAGGAATTTATTCTTTTCCAGTTTCATGGAGAAAAGGTTTTGAAGACAAAAACTCTGGAAAATTATTCCTTGCGAAGAAAAGGGCTAACATACTTGAACAGCAATTTTAATCCCATGATATTTTGTGTACATGCTTATTATGTTACACGTTAGGATCACAGTTTATTTGGAGTGTGGTATTTATCTGACTAACCAAACCTGCTCAGATCCATAGGCATGAGTACCATGTTTCTGACACCTTAAAGGCTCCAGCACCAGGATTTATGAATTAAGTATTTCCAGGGTGTTACAGAATACTGAGGACTGTATCTGCAGAGTGTTATATCAGGGTATGTGTGGGCTTGTCAAACACCCACATGATAAATTATCAATAGTGCAGCTCAGAGCACCCCTTTTGTGGATCAGAGACAAATCTGTGCATTTTATTATGCTTTGTTCCACTTAATGTTATTATTTTCTGCATTAAAGGTTCACAAAACCCTTACATGCCCAAATGCTGAAGGACATTCACACACAAAAAATGATCAAAAGACTTATTCTAATATTTCAAGTCCTGTTTTCACAGCTAGTTCATGTGGGACAAGGAAAAAATGCTGACAAGTTATGTCTGGAACTGGACAATTACATTTTATATTGTTCAAGATGATACAATCTTTTGCGTAGAATGTTAAGGTTAAAACACTACTGAGGAGCATTAAAGAAACAGGACTAGCTGATTATAAAGTGCCTACCATCCCTTGCCTGTATGCAGAGCACTGTCAGAGATTATAACTCTGCAAACCAAGTGTCAAATCTGAGAGGAAAATAAATCTCTCAAGAGTCAGAAAAGACTAAACTTGAAGCAGTGGATTTTCAGAAATGAACAAGCGTGAGCCCAGCATTTCTGATGCACAATATTGACTTTTACATGCAGCAACAGACCTCTGTTGAGGAAACAAAGGGTCTACTAGGCGAGCACTTTGCAAGTTTCATGTTTTCCTTACTACCCTTCTGTTTTTTCCTTACGCATACTTCCCTATGAATCAACTTGATCTTGTCCTCCTTAACCTGCCTAAAAAGCAGTTGAACTGAGAGCTTTTAAGTTTCACAGTGTGAAGAGGCCAGGAACATCAGTTGAAAGTGTTTATGAACCCAGTGTGCAAGTCAGATACACTGGTGAGGGTGGGCCACCCAACGCTGGCACCTGACAGAACTCCATATGGGCACCAAGATAAGCACATCCCTCACCAGGCTTCACCTCACAGAGCAGGGCTGCTGCAGCTTCCAAGGGCAAATAGAACAACATGGCTGTAGCATTTAGTGCATCTGGAAACGATAAAGTGGGTCCCAGATTTTACCCACACTTCACAGATGGAAGCTGGGGAGCACGGTTTGGAGTGATCTGGTCATGGACTGCTAGGAAACATGTGCCAGTGCCAGGAGTGCAAACCCTGCGCTTCTCCTGCTGCTGCTGCTGAGAACCCACTGACATGACAGCATCTAACAACACTTTCAGGGTACTTCTAAGGCAAGACACTTATTTACCCAGTGAAGTACCTAACTGAACAAACAGTTAAGGTGACACTGTGTTTAGACCTGAATAGTGGCACTGAGACACTGACCTGCAAATACACTGAGAACCCAGTTTCTCATACAAGGATTATTGGGCCACTGCTCCCTTTTACTACTTGAAAAGGTTTTGCAGAAGAGAGAAAAAGAAAAGTCCATAATGAAAATGTGTGGGAGAGTTTTAAAAACCTTGCAGTCTTGCCAAGACAGCCCTATGCCCTTTTGTACCAGCTTCCTTCCTTCTCCCCCACACCACACCTCCCCAGAGCCCCAGGGGAAGCAGAAACCAGGAGAACCCTTGGGGTGTGCCATATTCAGACCCGGCTTGTTATCAGCTCCAACAGAAACCCCAGACAGCTACAAATGTGAGTTCCAAATAAGTATTCTGTCTCTTCTTCCAATAGGTAATATAAAATGGCTGTAAACCAAAATTTGCTTGTTTCTTTTTTTCTTAAGTGCAGTCTGTTTTTAAGATGGTGACATGACAGCAAAACTCTGATATAATTCCAGACTGGACTATTAATAACCATATTTCCAAATGCAACAGGGATAGCTTTAACAAAGGAGCCCATCTTCAGTCCTGCAAGACTTTTCTTGATTACATTCTCAAAGAGCAGGCAAAAATTACCCAACTCCCATTGTTATAAAGTATCCCCAAAGTATCAAACCCATACTTGCAAAGATTTTGCACTGAGGTTTCAGGAGTCACAACAGGCTGTCACATTTATACGCTCTCTTCCTCCCCCTGCAGAGGAGCCTAATGCTGTCCAGTCTTCAGAAACAAACAGAAAGGACAGATGACAGGACTGCACCTTCAGGGATCTTCTGGTAACACCTCAGCACTGCAGCTGTCCTGTCACAGCTCTGCTGAGCTCTTTTCCTGCCCAGACAGGAGCCAGGGGCAGCGAAGGAGAGGCTCAGCTCCCTCCCAGCACAGCGAACACATCCCCTGTCAGTCACGGACTGCCTCCGAAATGCTCAGTTCAGTTACCTGAAAGAACCTCTTCATCACCCTCACGGTAATTTAACTCTACCACCATGGGAAAGGCTCCAGTAACCTGGGAGAGTTTTTCTGAAGTAAAACTATTAATCAGATATGATTAATATTCGCATGAGAAAATGGAAGGTGTTAAAACTTTTTTTTACCCACCCCTGTGTTTCAGGGAACACTGATGCCTTACCCAAAGACACTGCAGTCCCCAGGCATGCAGATTCATAGCGTGAGGGAGCTAAAACAACAACCAAAGGATATTTCGGTCCTGGTTAACACGTACCTGGCAGTGTCCCCTGAGCGTGTTCTGAGCACGCTGAAAGGAGCCTCGCAGAGACTGCCTCGGGCAATGGGCCACGCTGCTGGGAGCACTACACCCTCTCATTAGCGGTTTATTTCTCTTTCCTGCCAAGGGGAGCCCACGCACGGCGGGACATGGTGCCACAGCCCAGGGGCCCCGCTGCCAGCCCCGCAGTCGCCGCTCTCCGGTCCTCAGAGACTCGAAAAACAGGCCCCAAAACCCCACAGATCCCCTGCCCTTGGCGGGCAGCCCCCGTCGGCCCGCCGTGCTGCGGGACCGGCCCCGGCGGCAGGGAGCGGGCGATTCCCGAGGGCACCGTGACCCGGGCGGGAGCAGGGTGGGCACAGAGGGAGCTGCGGGGGCAGCGGAACCGGGCGGTGTGAGGGCACAAGGGCACCGGGACCCGGCGCGGCCGCTCAGCCCGCCCTCAGCGCGGCTCGCGCTCCGCCGCCCCCTCAGCGCCCACGGCGACCCCGCGCGCGCCGCGTCCTCACCTCACCCCGCCCCGGGCCGCGATTGGCCCCGCCCGCCGTCCGTCAGCAGATCCCCTCCGCCCATTGGGCGCCTGCCGCCCGTGGGCGGGCGCAGCGGCCGCTTCCTCATCCGTGATTTGCGGAGCGGCGGCTCCTCCGCCGCCCACCGGCTCCGCCACTGGCGAGGAGAGCTGTCGGTCGCGCCGCCGCCCGCCTCCCCGTGCCATTGGCCCAGTAACCTCTTTTCGGGCTTTCGTTTCTCTGCATTGGCTCATTGGACTGGACGGGCGGCTGCGATTGGGCGAAGAGCGGCTCCCGGGGGCGGCACTGAGCTCAGGAGCAGCGTCCATTGGCCGGCGGCCCGCCGTGAGTGGCAGGAGGGTGAAGGAGGCGGGCCCGCCCGGGGTGAGGGTTGTGTGAGGTGAGGGAATCTCGCGGGGTCTCGGCGGCTCCGGGCGCGGCGGCGCGCGCTGATTGGCCGGCGGGGTCACGGGGGCGGGGCCGCGCCGTGGAGAGGATGGGGGGGGGAGCTCCGCACGGCCGCGCGCGGTGGGCGGGGCGCGCCGGGCGCCGCGCGGCGATTGGTCGGGGGCGGCTCTCGCGCAGCCCGGCGGGCCGGGCGCGATTGGCTGCGGGCGGTGTCGGGCGCGCGCCCCGCAGGGGGGGGGGAGCGCGTGCCCGCGGCGCGGCGCGGGGCGGCGGGACCAGGTGAGAGCGGGGCCGGGGCCGCGGCCGGGGCCGCGCGGGGCGGGCACCCGGGGCCGCCCCCACACCCTCCCGCCGCCCGCACCGCGGGCCCCCTGCCCTCCACCCCCGGCCCGACGCCCCCCGGCCCGCCCGGCCCCGCCCCGCCGCGGGTCGCGCTGTCAGGGGCCGCTGCGACCTGCCCCGCGCCCCCTCCCCGGTCCCGCTCCGCCCCGTCATTCATTCGCCACTTTTCCCCCTCCTTCGCCCCCCCCTCCCCCCCGCGATCCCTGTCCTGCCCCGGCCCTTCCCTTCCTCCTTCTGTTTTTATCTTCTTTTAGCCCCCTTGCCCCCCTTTCCTCGCCCTGCGCCGCCCTCCCTTCACTTTCTCTGGGTCCTTGTGTGTGTTTCAGGCCTTCAAGGAAAAGTTGCAAACTCCCGAGTTGTTGCTGCTGTGAGGGAGCAGGTGCCTGGAAGGAGGGAGCAGGTGTCTGGAAGGAGGGAGCGATGTAGGAGGTGCCCGGGCGCAGGGAGGTTCGGGGGACACATGGAGAGGGTGTGGGAATGGCAGGGCTAGGCTGGCCAGCCCTCGCGGGGTGTTCAGGGCACAGGCTCCGAGCCCTCCCTCCGGAGGGAAGGGGGATTGATCACGGTGTTTAATTTTTATAACAAGAAAAACAACAAAAATAACCAAAAGTGAAGGAAAAAACCCACCCCGGCCCCACCCAGCTGCCCAAGGATGGAGTTGGAGTAGCCAAGCCCAGCTGGATGCTGGGGAAGGGGTTGGCGCCCGCACACATGAAGAGACTCCCCGAGTTGTTTGGCTTCGCGAGGAGATAAGGCCAGTGGAGCTCCATGTTTTTAAAGGTGGGCCGTGTATGATGAAACCCAACTTCTTTTAAAGTGTAGCAGATTTAATTTTTATGGCCAAATGACAGCTTGACCCAGTTGTTATCCAATCAAAGGGCATTTTTTTGAATGTCTCTTTGTGGCACAACAGCCAACGCAAAAATGATGGCGGCTTACAATGGCGGTACGTCTGCGGCAGCAGCAGGTCACCACCACCACCATCACCACCACCTTCCTCACCTCCCTCCTCCTCACCTCCATCACCACCACCATGCTCAGCACCACCTGCACGCCGGCTCGGCGGCCGCGGTGCACCCCGTGCAGCAGCATGCCTCCTCGGCCGCCGCGGCCGCCGCAGCCGCAGCCGCCGCCGCCGCGATGTTGAACCCAGGGCAGCAGCAGCCGTACTTCCCATCCCCGGCCCCGGGCCAGGCCCCCGGACCGGCTGCAGCAGCCCCAGCTCAGGTACAGGCTGCAGCAGCTGCTGCAGTCAAAGCGCACCATCATCAGCACTCACAACATCCACAGCAGCAACTGGACATTGAGCCGGACAGACCCATCGGATACGGAGCCTTTGGTGTTGTCTGGTGAGTAGAGACAAAAGTGAACCGATACCTCCTTGTCATTCTTTACCTGATCATAACTCATCCTTGTTTTTGTCATTGGAATCAGAATACAAGAGAGCTGCTTACTAAGAGTTTTTTTGCTGGTTCTTCTCCGTTCTTAGAAAGTTGCTTCGCTCGTTTGCGTTGGCAGAACAAGGTTCCCAGTGGTGAGGAGCCACCTCTGACTAACAGGCCACCCTGCCGTTCTGAGACAATACAGCTTATTTATGCCCTTTCTGTACCTTTAATTAGAGTGTGCATCCGTGCAGCTAAGCCGTGCTTCCTAAAATTTCAGGTTAACAAATGAGCACTGGAATATTCATTTTGACCTGGCTTAAGAGTCGGAAATGAAAAGCGTATGAAAATGTCTTCCTTGTGCAGTCACCTGTCAAGATCTTTGTCTCACGGCGGTTTGACCCGCGGTAGTGCTGTGTACTACCTCAAACAGCACAGCTGAACTCTGCTCCCCTCTCAAAAATGGAAATGGGATTTCCTGCCTCGCTGTAGCTCTGCCTCCGGCCCTTTTATCCCCCAGCCGCGTTTCAGAGGAGTCTGTCAGCGGAGTAGAATCTCTCCTAATGCATTTTATGACTACCTTAGAGCCATGTATGTAGTTAGTGCCCTTCAGGAGCACTGACACAAAGCTGGCAGCAGTATATGTGCATTTGTATATAAATGTTTGTTGGCGTGCCCTGTTCTGAGCTGTGCCTGGGAAGCATGAAGGCTGGCAGGGGGCTGTTCTGGAGAGCAGGCGTGTTGCAGTGCACTTCCTGCAGCACGAATGCAAAGTTTGCAGCGTGCAGCTGTGTGTGGTGTCCGAGCCCCCTGCAGCGTTCCCAGCCGAGCCTCTGGGGTGCCCCAGGAGTTTTGCTTTAGGCACTGGCCGAGCTGCAGCTTCAGTGAGACGAGTGGCTGGGTCACGGTGTGTGCCAGTGCACGGAGACAAGAGGGCTCAGCAGGGCAGGCCTCAGGAGAGCAAAACTCCTTCTGCCTGCAGCCCAGCCTTTCAAGCTGGCCACACATCACCAGCCCAGTGCTGGTAGCAAAATGGTGCTTTCTGAGAAGGCTGAGGGAGCTGCAGGAGTGAGGTGCAGGTCAGTGTTGTGGTTGCTCCCGTGTGCCTTCCCTCAGAGCTGGGGAGTTAATTTTAATGCTGAGTTCTCCCAGTCGGAGGAGAGCTGTTGTGCAGTCAGCACTGCCGTGCTCTGGCTGTGCTACGGCATTAAAAAGTGGGTGTAAAAGAAAGAAAACTGACAAGGAATCTGCTGTAAAAAGTTATCTAAAGATATTTCCCTCAGTTTGCATATTTTTTAAAGTATGGAATTTTATAACTTAATTTGTTACAGTCTTTGCTTAAATTTGTGTCGTTATGTAAGATCAGCCCTTTTTACTGGTGTTTTGTTACTTGCCCGTGCATTTCCCAGGTCTTTATTTTCCCCGTTCTGTTCACCAAAAAACAAGGTGCAGAGAGAGATCTGCCTTCACAGTATTCAGTAGAAGGAAAGGTCACGCTTGCATATTTAAATATAATATCATTAGAATGCTGAGGGGAGAAAGGTGTAGAGGGAAGGGTCTGACTGACATCAGGTAGGAAAGACAGTGCCAAAAGCATCCGCCCATCCCGAGCCCTGGGCTGCGCACCTGCCCGGAAGGACCTGCCCCTGGGGGACGGTGCCTGCAGAGCTGCAACTACAGCTTTGCTGTGAGGTAACAACAGCTTGGGAAAGAGAAAACAGCAAAGGGGGAGGGTGTTAGCTAAAAGCAGAAGCTGGGAGCTGGGATCCCTCCGGCAGAGCTGGGGCTGCACTGGCTGAGGATGTCATTGGTGGGAGTGAGTTCCTCTTTGCTCACGTGTGTTTGAATTCAGTGGTCGCTGCTCAGCTTTTGGCATTTCGTGTTAACATCTGCTGGTGAGTGCAGGCTCAATTTAGGAGTCTGTAAGCAGGAATTAAATAGAATTTTAGTTTCATTCAAAATGTGGTAGAATGCCCATGTAATTGAATTTTAGCTATGTGAGATAACGTAAACACTGACTTGAGTATTTATAGTTTGAGGTGACTTGGACATGAGCAACGTGCACTTGGGTTCAAGCATGACACAGGATTCACAAAGCCTGAGTGACTTTGGAAGGAGGATTTGTTGTTTCTCAGTACCTTGTCTGAGCATTACTTGTGCTAATAGGTAACTGAAAAGTTTTTATCAGTGTTTCTGAGGGAAATGGATGTTATTCCATAGACAGTTGGGTATTTGCAAAAGTCTTTCATCTTTTGCTCTGATGTGTCACTGCTTTGTTGGGGAGGTACAGCTGACCTGCAGCTCAGTTCAGTGCATCAGACGAGCGATCAGCGAGCGATCAGCGTGTGGTGTTGCACTTCCTGTTACCTCACCAAGAGATTTTCTCTTGGCTGTTGAATTAGCATTATCATTAGTTCATTTGTCTGGTGCTCCACGATGTTTCAGGGTAGCTAATGTGCTGCTGGAGTTTTTCACTTGTGAAGAGCCAAAGGCTGGTGCTTCAGCACTTTGATTATTAACCCTGCAGGCGGGTGCTGCTGCTGTGTGCACACAGGCCGTGTCCTCGCTCAGCTGGGCACCACTTCTGTGGAAATCAGCTGTCCCTGGCACAACATCTGCTCTGCCTGCTGACCTGGGACGGGCAGGGTGTTGCTGAAGCAGGGACAGGTGTGGAGGGACTTTCCCCAGGTCCTGCAGGTTTGTTTCCCCACACTCTGGCTTG